GAGGACTGCCAGCCCTCCGCAGGGAACAGGGGCACATCCTTTCCCATGGCCCTGTCCCCCCACCCTGCATCCTGCCCCCCACCCTGCTCTGCTCCGCAGAAAAGCCAGCCCAGGTGTGCTGCGGCAGCAGTAAAGAAACTGATTTTAATGCACATAACACCCAACATCACCACGGGAGGGACTCGTCCCTTCCCTCGCAACCCTCTCAGGCCATCAGCTCTGAAACACAGCCACCCCTGGCCCTCCAGCTGCGGGCGCAGAAGCCAGCTTGGGCTGCTTCTCCACCAGCGGTGCCCCTGGCTCTGGCAGCATCCCCAAGGCTGTTGGGCTGGTCCAGCCGGGAAGCGCTTTTAGGTGGCAGAGCGGGTGAAGGCAGGACCCGGGGCTGGGGAGTGAGCCCTAAGGCACATCAGAGCAGGTTTGGAGAGGCCAAGACACCCAGGAGCCAGAGCCCGTGTCTTTCCTCAGCACACACATCTCAGTCTATCAGAAACTTCTCACCATCCACATCTCTCCCCACAGATCCCTTGCGCAAGGAGGGGAAAAAATCGGAGCGGAGGAGGCGGGAGAAGTACATGAGGATCATGGCATCGAGCAGCAGGAGGTTGGCGGCGAGGAAGGCACCCTGGCCCTGCACCTCCACGTAGCGGAGGAAGTACCAGGTGAGGTAAGCCTGAGGCGCCAGGCGGAAGGCGAAGTACATCACCAGGTTGATGTACTTGTTGGCCTCGTAGAGCACCGGGGAAGGCACGTTGCTCATCTTCAGCAGCATGCGGATGGTGAGGAAGATGTTGCTCACCTCCACTAGCAGCAGCAGCATCGCCGCCACCAGAAAACGACCCGTGATGATGAGTGAGACGAAGGCAGAGATGGCCTGGGACAAACATACAGAGCAGGGTCAGCTCTCCTTGTCCTGGGGGAGGCAAATCCTTCCCCACCAGGGTCTGGGCCTATCCTAAGTGGGAGTACCTAGAGATCCCAGCAACCCCCCAGGCACCTGGGCTAAGAGAAAACCAGTGTGAAGAGCCAGTTTCCCCGGGACCAGTTACACCTCCCTGCGCAGGGAGCTGGGATCAGCCTCCAGCTCTTCCCTCACCCGGCGCGG